GATACGCATTTTGCCACACGCGTAACATAATGCGCATTAAAAAAAAAAAAAAAAAGAAAAAAGAAGGGAGCAAACAACGGCAATTAAAAATTGATCTGTGATTCTCGATTGCGAGACGCAGTATACTCGCGATTTCTTATTGCGGCCTGACAAAAAAACTACAGCATACCGTAGTATACTTCCGTAGAAAGTACGAATCACGCGAGCGTCGCACTCGTACATGTAAAAATGATCATATGGTACATAGAAAACGCTTCCGTTCTGTCCCGTAATTGCCATATTAACTATATTTAGTCTCAATAAAAGCAAACAGCAACATGAAGCTTATCTCTCATTATATAAGAAAAAATATTTAAAAATTCTGTGGTAAAAGTCACGGATTACGATGTAGGATTTAAGAAATTTTCTCCCTTTTTACATAGATTTTTCCAAATTGCTCGACGCACTGTTTTGCAGACGGAGCTTGTAATAAATAAAATTAAGATAAAGACAACTTGTACCTTGAAAAGTTTAATCTAACGATGACATGGTTTGGTTTACTATCGATTGAAACTCTATCAAGAGTCGATGTACGATATTTTCCACGAAATAAGCCGTAAAATCTAGCTCGTTCAATATAAATTGAAGTAATCCAAAGCTGTCGGCGAGTTAAAGAAAAGTGGGTAAATAACAGGTGGCGTTTCTCGAGCATCATCTTATAAAGTGAAATGCTCGCTTCGCACAACTCCGGCATAGATAATTGACTGGATAAACATTGTTACACAACGCGCGCGCATCCGGTCTTTGTCGTGGCGAATATCGCAGAAGAGTCGCAATCTCTCACACTGGCCGCACGTTATCTTCGGGACACCCGGTGCACACACGAAAGGTCGATCTCGGAATAGTAAAGTGGAGCCTTGGCAGTGCCGGTCTACGCGCTCCGAATACTGCGAGGAGGCTGTGCTCTTCCTTTATGAACCCTTTTATCGCACAGCGTCGTATGTCAAATGCGAGATATGCATTGTAACGTGAAGGAAGCAACAAACGACTATGCTCGCGATCGATCTTTGGTAATACAAGTTTTTTTGTTCCCCTGCGAGTTTTTGACTTTAATCTTAATTCCAATCCAAGTTTGAGTCCGATTTCTAATTTCCTCAAACTGTGATTTCTTTTTTGCAAATTTTGTACGAATTTAAAGTTAAACAAAGCTTGTCACTTCGATGTTTTGTTTTTAAATTAAAATTATTGAAAAGAAATTAATTAATCCTGTTTTTATTTTAAAATTTAAATACAAAGAGCAGTTTTCAAAGCAGATTAGAATTAAGATATTAAATCAATTAATCGCTGAAATAGATTGATATCAGTACTGCGAATTAATATCGATTAAATTAAATATTACATTTTTGATACTGCATTCGTTTGTTTTGTAAAATATTCTTTTTTATAATTGCGGTAGTTGCGGATATAAAACATTGCTTTATTTCAATTTTGGAGCTAATATTTTTGGAGAAGGAAACTTTCTCAAGTGTAACACGCAAATTGACACATATTGCGTTAGGTAGCTTCTTGAACCTGTACTTTAAAAAACTCAAATCTTACGATCAAACGTAATCATACAGCGGAGATATTATTTTTTCAAATTTTAATATCAATATATATGAAGTATTGGCAAATTTATGACAAAGTTTCATAAAATTTATAGTATATTTTAGTGTTGACATTGTTTCCTTACTTTTGAAAATGATTTTTGGCTTTGTTCTAATGCTGTTTTCTAAAGCCGAACATTTTCATAGCTGTACATCGTAAAAAATTGAAAAAGTCATAATTCTGTTGTATGACCTTGTTTGACCTTGAGACTTGGGGTTTAAAGTACAGGCGCAAGGGGCTTCCTAACGGAATATGTGTCAATTTGCGTGTTACACTTGAGAAGGTCCCTTGTAAGGCTAATGACGTACGTTGAGTGCGAAAAAGATTTTATGTGAATTAAAAAAAGTTATGAACTTTTCAAGAAGCGCATAAACGCGTCTATGATGCGAGGAGTTTCCTTGTAGGGCTACGCGACCTTAAATGGCAACTTCTTAAGGTCTTTTTTATCGTTTTATGATAAAAAAAGAAAATGATCACACGCGTACTATTAGCGTAGTCGCGATCATGTTTGCGAGAGCAACAGTGAAATTTTCATATTAATTGCACAATGATTTTTATACTAATTACATAATTTTTTCACCGCTCGAACACTTCATTCTTACTTATTTTCTATATGAATTATATAAGATGTTTCATAACAATACGATCACGGCTTAATACTTGTTTTTGAAATTAATTTCGAATTTAAAAATATAAATGTCTGAAATTTAACAAAACGTTGGAAAAAAATATCTAAAAGAATGTAATAAAAAAAAATGTTCTAAAATTAATGCAAATTTTTTGTTAAAAATGTTAGAGCGTGCGAAGATTCGAGATTTGGAATAAGAAATTGATACAATTGCGTATAAAGTTTGAAAAATTTTTACAACAATAACATTGTTGTTATTGTTTTCACAACAATAACACATTATAATTTATAAATAAAAGAAATAAATTTTAGAGTTAAATGATTCAAAATAATTTGCCTCCCCTAAAAAAAAAAATCTGTGCTTATTTTCATATTTGTATTAAATAAAATTTACAAATTTTAATTAGTCAAATATTCACGAAGTGCGATGCAAATCAACGATTTCTGAAGTAAGCGCAAAGTATACTTAGCGCAATTATCATTAGCTGTCGGAGAAAAGTTCGCGTTTTTCCAGTTCCCAGTGCGTTTTTCTCAATTTCCCAATTTCCGCGAATGAGAACGCGAATGAGTATCACGGTCGGCCAGCTGGCGGGATTTATTTCGGAAAGCGCGCACGGAAATAAATGTTTCGAGCGACCGTCGCTTCTTCGGTGAATCAGTGTATCAGCGGCCAACATGGCAAACGCCGTGACGAGAGTGGTTCTGCGCTGCGAGGAGGCGCAGGAGAACGAGAGCCTCGGTAAATTGCAGAATTCGGTGAAAGTGATCGTTCGCGCGTACATCCGCGATTCTTTTTTTTTATTTGTACTTAAAATTCAGCGAGCGAATTATTAATCTACAATGAATCCATCGTGAATGCGCAAAATTTCCACGTGCTTTCATAACTTGCCTCGCATTGGTGAGCGATCACGCAGTGGGAATTACGAAAATGAGAGCGAAGTGGCACAATGGTTAATTTGTAGAAATTTGGTTGTATAATTGCACGCTTTTTTTCGTGCCGGATTTGCGAATTTCGGGTTTTAAATATTTCTCCTTTAAACTGAACTAAGTGTGAAAAATGTGCTGATTAAATGATGCGTATTTTTATATTTTTAAATCTTTGATTTAATTTTACATTTTTTTTGTGAACCTGCAAAGTAAGAACTTTTGCTCGTATTCTTAAACTTAATTAATGTAATAGTTTCACCATACATAGAGAAATTAAAAAAGTATAAAAAGTCGCTTGCTTTTTTTTTACATATTTTCCACTTTGATCTGAGTGTTGCTCGGATTTGTAAAGAGTTAACAAATCTACGTTTAGTTGCCGAGTTAGCAAATCACAATTTATTATCCTCTCCCGGAACTGTGCGCTTCACCGTTATAATGATCATGATAATTGATAAATGTATAACATGAAATACGTTTGTTCCGTAACACGTTCTCGATTCCCGCGTTCAAGTTGACGTCAGCGATCTTCCGTGCTGGAAACCGCGCTGGAGAAAGCGTGAAACGCGCTGCGCCGATGTTAAGTGCACTTTCAGTCGTTATGATGCACCTAGACCAGCGTTCTCCAATTTTTTTCGAACGATGAAATCCTTTTATTTTGTTATAGTTTTACCGAGGCTATGAATATTAAAGCGCAGACAAGTCGCATTATCGCGTAATCTGATTTTACAATTACGAGGGGAAAAAGATTTTACTCTCGCCAAAAAAGATCATTAGTCCGCCGAGAAAAACGTTCAGAAAATAAAAATAAGAGAATTCAGCTCTAATTGAATGTTAAATAATAATAGCGCTGTAGAATTAATGATAGCGATATTATCGAAATAAATTAATTTCGGAATAAATTTACTCCAAATTTGAAATAAGATTTCAGTATAGAAAGTTGCTTGTAAAATATTAACTTAAGTAATTATGATAATTCGATTGTGCCTTTTTCTATTTATACTTTTCAGGAAACTGTTCATGTTTTCCTATTTCTTGTTTTAGACCTTTCGGAGTGCCAGCTCATGCAAATCCCGGACGCGGTTTATCATTTGATGCGGCACACCGAGCTGAAGAGATGCGACCTCTCCGGGAACGTGATCACGAAGATTCCACCAAAGTTTGCCGTGAAGTTTTCATTAATCACTGGTAAAAATGATAAACTATACCGAATGATTCTACATTGTGATTCCATTTTTTAATTTTGTCGTTGCAAATTTTTTCTCTTTTTTATTCGAAACCGCAAGTTATTTGACAGCGCGTGTGACGTTTGCAGAACTGAATTTGAGTCACAATCAAATGAGCAAATTGCCTGAGGAGTTAGCCGAGCTACAAGCTCTGGAGAGACTCGATATCTCGCACAACACTTTCATCGCTCTACCACCTGTCGCTTGGCGGATACCGCAGCTCAAACGACTCCTCGCCAACAACAATTTTATCATCGGTTAGTATCAATCAATCTGTTATGTCAGATCTTTTCCGAATCTCATCAACAACTCAAACAACTAATGGTAATACTAATAGATCGTATAGATTTTTTTCTCGAATAGCATCATCGCACACAATATGAGGTATCGATGTGTATTAAGGGGCTACGTACACGCGTTTATTCGCGTATATTGAAAACCACACTCTTTTTATTCAAGCAAAATTGATTAGAATCGATTCTGATACTGTAACTATTGTAAGCAAAAAAGATTTTCATATATCGCATCGTGTAATAAATAATTTCGTAATTTTCTAATAAACAGCGTCATTGTTTTTAAGCAGCACGCTTTTACGCGATGTGAAAAAATCGCGGCCAGCCTTTGACGAATATAAACTACGCTTTGCTTGACAAAAAAGAGTAGACAGATTTATTTGAAAAATTCGAAATTATTTACTACATAACCAATAAATTTTCGAATTTCCACTGTTACCCTGATGGAAATATTTTGCTGAAAGTACTATGAAATCAATGAAAAGTAAAATGAAAGTTTTTGAAAAATTACTGAATATATTTCAAAATAAATCATAATTTTCCGTATGAAAATTTAATGTAATACTATGAAATATAAGGAAAGTTAAAATATACTGCTAAAAAGTAATAAAAGAGTTTTTAAATAATTATCATTATGAAATTTACTGAATTAAACTGAAAACTGTTACTTTTTAATGAAAAATTGCTGAAATATTTATGAAATTAATTAATGGGATCAATTGAGAGAAATTTTCAAATACATTTCAGCAAAATTTCGTTATACTTTTAGAAAAATGTTTCCATCAGGGTATTCAAACGATAGAGAGTAATTTTTTAAGCTGAATCTATAGTAATGGTAAATCTGTATTTGTTTTCACAGACGTCAACGTCGAAAGACTCAGGCATGCTCCCGCTTTGGAATTCATCGACCTACAGGCGAATCCATTACCACCCAGATTGCACGATCTTCTACGCACTCTGACTGGGATCACAGTCGAACTCACTCCTCGGCAGGTCGAAGATTGGGAGGATTTGAACGTTTGAATCCATCTCCCCCAAACAAAGAGCAGCCCATCTCGCTGAAGACGACGGGGAGACGATTTGCCGCGTCCTCACGACGAAGATTGCTCAAGATTTTGCCAGACTAGAAATAGAATTGATTCTTTTGTACAGTGATATAACGTGAGCCGACTGATAACGGATGTCACGCGCGGACCGAAACGGTTCGGTTGTATTTTTTTTTTTTTGTAAATGCCACTAGCGATATGTACTTAAATACCGCGGATCGGATTATCGATCTCCGCGGAGATCGCACGATCCCTCATTCTTATTTTATACTGCGTGGATTCTTAGATTTTATCGCGATAATATTGTGATGCTTAGCTACTTCAGTCATGGGATTCGGCGGTTCTCAGATACCATGATTCGCGAATTTTCGGAGAGATGTAAAAGTATTTGGAATCTCAGAAGATTAAATTTTTAAATCCACACATTTTACATATTTCTATAACTTGCAATCTGGGATTCTTGGAAAGACTTAAGAAAGTAGTCGAAGAATATTTTGGACTTTCGAAGATCTTTAAACTGTTAAAGTTGCAAAATATGTCACGTTGTTCATAAATACAGATTATATCGACCGAATTTTTAACGTAATTTTAATGCTACGGACAATTTATCGTTATGGACTACCGATTTATATATGCATAGTGCAACCTATCTAACATTTAACATTTTGCACTCGAGCATTGCATACATGACAGTGTAATGGCTGAGATTGTAATTTTAATAATTTTACACGATTTCAGATATTGTTGCATATTTATATAAATTGTTACTATACATAATATACGTATAAATAATAATTTATATTTATAAATACCGTAAAATAAATATTGTTAAAGGAAAAATCGTATATTTCTTTGCAAATTATGTTCCGAGAGAATGTTTTCATATTTGATGTGTGCATTCAGAATTTGGGCATAAAAATTTAATATCTTACTAATTGATCAGATTTTATAACTCGAGTACAAAGTGTTAATAATGAAACAATAACGAGTGGAAGATCTAACTAGATAGTTTTAACGTTTGAATACATGTCAAGTTGTTAAAAAAATATACAATAATATTTCAAAATCTTTTCGGAGAACTGTACGCATTTTGTGTATATAACAGTCGTGCATCCTCGAACAGTGATTATAATTTAAATTTCTTTTATCTGTACTTTTCATCTAGTCAATTATTTTTGGATGTATAGATTTCAAGATTTATAGACACATAATTCTATTGAGCTTCGAATTTGCGAAATATCACATCCACGGCATTTGGATATCTTTACAGATCTTTTGGAAAGCCTTGATTTCCTAGATTTTAAATTACAAAACCGTAATCTGTCTTATAAAATTGGTGTCCGTAAAATCTTTAGTTTTATTTTCGGACCCATAGAAATTTGAATACAATGAGAAAGATAACACAATGCAGGCCCAGACAGCACGCATGTCTTGGAGACATCTAAAAGACGTCTAAAAGATGTCTATGTTTAAGACATACGTGCTGTCTGGGACACATATTATTGTAACAGCACTTTGAAAAAGCAAAAGCGCATTTTTATCTTGTATTTTGCAAGATCTGTTCCTAGTCTATGCATCCTAGTTGCAATGACTACTGTATCGCAATTTGTATTCTAAGTCATAATTGTATTGCAATATGGCAAAAAAATTCGAAATGACGAGTCAAAAAAATTATCAACACATTTAGTTTTATACTTATTCGATATTTTGTCATACAGTTTGATACATTAGGAAATTCTTGTGCGATATTTATTATAATTATATACAATATTGACAAAGAAAGAAAAAGAAAGATAAAATATATCAACAAATTGTTGAGCTATTTTTGATACTGCATACACGTTGCGTCTTCCTTTGATTTATTAATATAGATGTAGACTTAAAGAATTTTAACGAAGTGGAAAGTCGATGCTACCTTGATTCACAAAAATAAATCATGGGTACGAACGCGTACAAATAGAGCGAATAAAGCGTACCAAAATTTTTCTATGCCATAATTTTTTTGAGCGGTGTATATTAATTTTTTTTTATATAGTTTTCTAAATAATATCGCTATGTTAGTAAAGAAAAGTAATTACGACATTACGATACATCTTCAGTCTTAAAATGGTAGAATTCAAATTGTTTATTACTTTCTAAAATTAAACATTTCAAGATAATATCTTAAATATTATATAAAAACACAAATATAATAGTCATTTTAAAATTTAACATAAATTTTTAACAGATATGATAGCAATTATTACAAATTTATAATTAGGAAATTAGTTTTATGCATCTAAAATTTTTTTCTTCTAAATAATAATGTTATTGTTTTTACAAAATGTAAAAACTATTAATATAAAACATTATTATAATTTACATTAAAATTCAATTACTTATTTTCAGTTTAGTAATTCTCTAACTTTTTACTGTTGTGTATTCCACAAATGTGTACCATTAGATTTACAATCTTAAATGATTGACTGCATAATAACTTAATACAATTTTACACGCAGAATTAATATTTTTTATAAACTTATAAGTAATATACTTTAACAATTTTGTTTCTCAGTAACTAAAAACTGTACAATTTTGGTTTTTATATGCATATTTAACCGATTATGTATTTTAATTTACGCGCTCTTCTATCTACTAGTAAAGTGTTTTTCTGTTAGGTGACCTCTTAGCAACTGTTTGTGTGACACGACATATATATTATATTAGTTACGAATATGCTTCTTAGTATTTAGAGACTTCTCGGAGCTAACAGAGAATCGCAGTTTGATTTATAAATCTTTGGCATTTAGATTTGTGAGTAAAGCGATATTAACTGTATTATTATTACAAAATTGTTAATTTTTATGTACCATTGCATTTTAATTGACGATTTTAATACATGTTTATAGGTGACCAGAAACGAAATATTTCTAATTCAAAATATAGAAAAATTTATAAAGCATGATAAATACAACTTTATTTTCAAAAATATCTTTTCGAATAAATAACTGTATCACAAATTTCTTTTAACTTTTACATTTTTTACTTTGTATAACATGAATCACGTCATGTTTAATAATTAATTATTATTTCTGCAAAGTGAAAATTAATAGTGTGTGTATGTGTGCGTGTGCAGCTTGCTTGCGTGTACAATAGATTCCCGAGTAACACGGGATCGTATAACACACATATAGAAAAATTGCTGTGCTCTTGCTACACAGTAAAACAGGCTCATATAACATGCTAAATAAGTTTACATTTTTACATTTGAATCTCTATGTATAAAAATTACATCTTTATTATTCTCTTTACATTTTTTATAATAAACTCTTACATCTTTTATAAATATGTGTTTCCATATGCGTATATAATCCATATATCGCAAGAAAAGTAACATAAGATAAAGAAATAAAATTGTTCAGGTGGGAGGAAAGAGAGAATTGCGTTAATAATAACGCTCCCTATTAATAATATTATGAATTAGTTTTTTTCGTAAATTATAAATCATTTGAAGCAAGCTTGATTTTACGGAAAATAATTTCAGATGTCCATGCTTGGTCAAACAATAATTTTCAAATTAGTTATTTACAGTAGTATTAAGCATAATGAACTTAGGCGAAGAGTATTTGAATTCAACTTCTATCATTTTTTCTGATTGAAGGCCGATACTTAGAACACAATCTGCACATAAAAAGTCAGCACAACAGTAATCAAAAAATTTCGACTTGTGTCACTCTTCTTGCGGGTGTGCTGTATGTATAACATATGTGACTTGTATAACACGAATTCATATAACACGGAATGAGTTATACGGGCGCCTACTATATTTGAGAATAGATATCATAACTAATTAAAAATATAATAATTTAATATTTTGTTTTTTGGATTAATAACATTTTCAGTTATAATTTTGTCTTTATTTTATTTTTGTATTCTAATATGCATTTTTAAATATTTAATATAATAGCACTCTGTGAAATTACTCATATACAATATTACTATCTTTCTAAACTCTATCAGACATATTTTACGAATTTTACTTTTTTTACTTTATGTTTCTTTCACTTTATCTTACACTGAAAAAAAAGAACAATAGCAGAAACCATAATCAATGATGTTTTTTGGCGTCAAATATTTTTCTAAATGTTCTATGATAACTATATAATTGGCTATATGTTTCGTAATACTATACGTAAAAAAAATTATTATTGCTAACATTACACTAACAATTTCTATAGAATTATCTATTAAAGTATCGTGACTATAATTGTTATACCATGCAATTATAGTTCAAAATATATCAAGCACTTTTCTTTCAGTGTATCATGGTTTCTTCTATATCTTTTCAGTGCAAATTACTGTAATCGTTATTATATGCCTTTCTCTGTTATAAAAATTAAGAACTATGTGTTGCAAATGTATGTTTTACTATCAACAAATATTTTTTTCAGAATTTTTTTTTCTGTATAGAAAAATAAATATGATATTCCAAAAGCTTTTAACAAATGTCGAAATAATGTTAATCGCTACAATAGCACTTTGCACTGCTATCAATACTGAAAATGACACTGCAGTTCATTATCATTTATCGGATTACATAATACCATTGCATTACGATGCTAATTTAAGATTTGACTACAAAATAAACGATATTATTGGTAAATGTAATATAACTATAGATATTAATCGTCAAATAGAAAATATAACTCTGTATCCAGTGACTTTCGCTATAATGAAGATTGTTTTGTATGACAACCTTCTTAGTCAAAAAGTTCACATTCCAAAGTATTCATTTAATGAACTAAACATGTTTATAATTGATTTTACCAAGACGCCAAAACTACAAAAATTTTTACCACCCGGAAGATATACTTTAATGATAGCATATATGCGTCACCTAAATAATAACAAAGAATACTTTATTCAATCTTTATTCTCCGATAAAACACTGGACAACATGTAAGTTAAAAAAGTATTTGAAACAAACTTATAGTAGAAAGAATATTCTCTGATGTTTTTTTCAAAATATATTAGATAAGTACATTCATTAACCAGATGACATTCCGAGAATTGCGTATTACATAAAATAGTCAGAATAGTACTCAAATAAATTCAATACTTTCAAAATTGTCGATTTTATGATATGTATATCATACATTCTCTCTCAAAAAATTCTGTACAGTGTTATAAACTATGATGCAATTTTATTAAGACCCAATATTTTTTAGTTGATCCTTAAACGATCCTTAAGTATAATTATATTAAAATTTTTTTAAATACCATATTGTTAAAATATGACAGGTTAAATGTGAAAGGTTTTGATATAATGATTGCTCGACAACTATTCCCATGCTGGGACGAGATAGCACTTAATTCCACATTTAAAATTTCTATCATGCATCATAAAAACTACACAGCTTTATTAAATATGCCTATACAAACAACAGAAAATGACAAACGTGACATGATGTGGACACATTTTGAGAAATCACCTACAATGTTCATTCAACATATAAAAGTTGTGATAACTACATTCGTTAACATTTCTACTTCGGTTGCAAATGTTACATTTTGGAGTAGAAGAAATGTAACAAACCGTTTGAAATTAGTGAAATGTATTGCCCAACAAGTTCTATACTTTTTGAAACGTGAAAATACTATAGACAAATTACCAAAAATAGACTATGTTGCATTCTGGGATACTCAACATAATAACAGTGTAACATGGGGACTGATTTTACAAAGGTAATATTCAGAACTAAAATGAATTAATACAAAATGTAAAATTATTGCATAATTTAATTTTAAAACTGAAATATATACATATTTTTATGTCACAATGTATAAATTAGGAAATAGCTGAAATCTATAGAATTTTACTTGCGTCACATTAAGAAGACATCATTGTCTTCAGTTTAGATCAAAATTTGAAATAATCATTCTTTATGTCAAATCGGATTATAATTTAGCTTTAGTTTTAAAAGCATGCAAAATAATTGTGCGTTTTAGGTTACACAAATAAGGCAACTGTTACAAAATTATTTTATTACATGAATTATTTTTTTGAAACTCATTAAAATTCTTGTCTTCTAAATTTTAATACTTTTTTCTATGCCTGAAATTATTTATCAAAAATGTGCAAAATTTCTTTTTCTAGCCTTTTAAAATTTAGTGTGTATATGATTGTGTAAGTAAACAGTTAATATTACATCGTTTCATAGACAAAATAAATTTCATTCTTAAATAAAAATACATAATAAACCGAAAATGTCAAAAATCACATTATTTCTATTTGTTATAAAACTAAAAAAACCTTAAATATATATACATTTTTTTACAAAAAACAGTTATAAAAAAATTTGTTTGTGGTGTAATAATTTGTTATATCTACAATGTAAAGACTTAATCAATTGTTTAATTACAGCAAACATTGTTTATGCTCTTTTCATATTTGAAACCATTTTTCAGAGAAGCTGATATTATTCATGACGGAAACTCAGATTCCGTTGGGCATAAACTAAAAGTGGCACGCCTTATAACAAATCAAATAGTATCTCTTTGGTATAATGATGTGTTGTTGTGGTCAAAAAGAGGTTTCATTACATTTCTTGCAACGTACATCTTGCATCAGGTTGTTTTAAATTTTTATTATTGATATATTATATTTGGTGTAGTAGTATTTGGTGTAGTAGTATTTGCATTTGATACAAATAATTGACTAAATTTTTATCACTGTACATCAAATAAGGAAATTCATGTAGCAACATATGACGTTATAAATATGTAACAAAAATTGTGTACTTTACATTATTTTTATAACACAAGTAAGAGGAAAACATTTGCTACATAACGACAGTATGATAATCTTTCTTCAAAACTCCTGGGCAGGAAAAATTAGAGAAATATTTATTTAAAGTGTTAGTTTTAATTATTAATAACTTTCTATATTGTTCAAAAATTTTAAACGTGGAGTAACGACTAAACCACATACATTTAATTTTTTACGTTTAAATAGATATATCTGCTAAGAATTTGTACTATTTAATACACATGTTGTTAGAAAACTACGTTATATTCATTAAATTTCTTTCATTAATAACTATTTAGTAATCAACATGTTTTATGATAAAAAAATGTATTTTTAATTATGAGACGTGCTTTAAATTGTAATTTGTTGACTAAATATTTATTTCATTATTTTAAACATTTCAGATTTTTTGGAATTGTGACACAATTAATTTATTTATCGTCGAAACACAACGGGAATCCTTTCTCTTCGATACTCCTTCTGATGCAAATAAAAAGAATTCACTTAGTTATCTTGTAAATCATGTAAAATGTAAGTTGGTAAAATAAAATCCTACAAATGGTTAAAATAAATATAATTAAATAATACTGTTGAATAATACGTACATTTTTATATTTTATAGAGGAATACAGAAAAACTGAAGAGTGTACACACAAATTAAAATACAATATACTGATATATAAATTTTATTATAAAAGATATATATTTTAATATTTAAAAAATATATATTTGAAAGTACTTAACCAGCATTTTATAATTTTAATTGTTTCAGCATCCAATATATGGCGCATGTTATACCATTTGGTAACTGCTGATGTGTTTTGGACTGGTATCCGCACATATCTAAATAGCAAACAGTAAGTAATATCATTTTATCTATTTCGCTAGATAATAATTACATAAACTCAATATTGAAGAAAGATGATGTATTTAAAATTCTACAATTCAAATGGATAAATATATACTGCTTCAAACTTATCGAGTTATCTTAAATCTATAAAACTGTAAGCAACATAACGTTGATTTTTCTAAGAAAATCACCGAAATATTATTTAATTTTTAGAAATGATCTCTTACAATTAGTTAGAAACTCAAAATAAGAATTCGAATACTAGACACTGACCTTTATTAAATGGTATTATATTTTTTTATATTATTATTTCTAACTTTTAAGAAATTAACATTTTCTAAAGTACACAAAAATTGAACTGGAAAATATGGGTACCGAAACCGATGTACCTATTAAAAATTATAGTGTAACGGGGCTCCTTTCTCGACGCCGCGGATCGGCTCGCCGGAGTCAGAGTTCAAGAGAAGAGAAAGTCCAGACTGACGTAACTCGATTTGATCTAACTCAATTCTTTATTATTTTATCTTACTTACTTACTATGTACAATGCTTGCGCTGCTGCGCTAAATCGCGTCGCGAGAGGGTAGCGGTAATATTCCGGTCGCGTAAAGGAAGTAACCGCTCTTCGGCGGCGGAAGTCGCGGAAGGCCGAACACCGGGAGCACCCTGGCTTCGGAGAGGGAGCAACCTCTCTCCGTCGGCGGGAATAGCGGAAAGTCGAACGCCGGGAGCACCCTGGCTTCAAAGAGGGAGCAACCTCTCTTCGTCGACGGAAGTGGCGGAAGGCCGAACACCGGGAGCACCCTGGCTTCGGAGAGGGAGCAACCTCTCTCCGTCGGCGGGAGTAGCGGAAGGCCGAACACCGGGAGCACCCTGGCTTCGGAGAGGGAGCAACCTCTCTCCGTCGGCGGGAATAGCGGAAAGTCGAACGTCGGGAGCACCCTGACTTCGAAGAGGGAGCAACCTCTCTTCGTCGACGGAACTAGCGGTTGACTGCCTCGGGAGCTTCCTGAGGCAGTGCTTCGGTAGGACTTCGGATCAGGACAGGTGCCGTTATGCTGGCCGAGCCGGCTTTTATACCCGGCTCGGGCCTCCCACCCGCGAGTATCGGTCGCGCGGTGGGAGCGGTCCCCACGCTGGGGCGTCGCATGGGCGCGAGCGTTCGTGGGCGTCATAGGCGTCGAGCCTATCTTCGGGCGGTCGGGTGCTGTAGGGACGGTGTGTGAAACGCATCGTCACAATAGAATATGTTAGAAATATAAAAATGTACTGCAATAACTTGTTAAATAATATAAAAAATATTTTAATATTGCTAATAATATAGTAATGCCATTTTTTTTTTGGTGTAGCATTATAAAAAGCATGTATAACAAACTTGGTTTTCTATAAATCAACCCCTTGTTTTTAAAGTAGAATTTATGTATGCCAACTTATTTTATGAATAAATCGCCCACTTGAGAATGCCGGTTTTTGGTACATCTTAATAAAATCCTCCATATCGTACCGTAAAGAAAGCAATAAAATCGAAAGCAAAAGTAAAATACGTTGAGAAAGCTACTAGCATGTAGAATAACTTGATATTACCAAAAAAGATAATTATTGTTGTTTAGATTATTTAAATCTCCAAAATAATCATAGAAACAAAGATTTCAAGCTCAAAGAATTTGATATAAGCTGATTTAGTATATGAATAAATAGGGAATATACAAACTATGGGTTTTAAATGAGTTAACTAATTGAACTAACAGATCACGTTTATATTATATATATATCAGTTTTACTAAAACGCAACATTTCAATACTGAGAAATATGTCACTTTAGAAGGCCTATATCAATTTCAATGTTTCCTCCTCTTTTCCCCAACCACTCCCACTTTATCTATCTTTTATAATTAAAACGCTACTCTTATTTATGTAAACCAAAATTGATTTTTGAAGTTTGATTGAAATAACTTTATCTGTCTTTTGAAAACTAATATTTAAAATATACTTAGATAGAGAAAATTTTATTTTTTATATTACAGCCAAAGTTTATTGATATATTTGTAAGTTATAATTATAAGTTCAAAATTAGTTATACAATATATAACTATCAAGGAAAGGTTTTAACTGTCTATATTCTCATTTGCCAACAGCTGCGTTTGCCTACAAGCATTATTGCGCACATGCAAAAATTAAAAATACAGATGTACTTTTGCACACATGACATTATTGCGCGCATACACATTGCACACATGGTATTATTGCACACATAAAATAAGGAAATCAATGGACACACGGTACTCAAAGGTTTCTAATTAGACGATTCCACGTGGGTTTGCAACTTTTCGCGCGAAGCGAGGTCCAACTCACATCACCCTGTGCTTCAGATGCGAGACGAGGTTTATATCATAAAGTCATCTGTGCAATCTGCATGTGCGCAATAATGTCATGTGTGCAATGTGTATATGCTCAATAATGTCTTGTATGTTAACGTACGTTTGTAAAATTTTCAGTTTTTGTATGTGCTTAATATTGCTTCTGCAATCGCTCTGTAGGCAAATGGGAATGTAGGCAGTTGAAGCCCTCTCTTATCTTTCATGTACAATTATACTAGTATTACTAATTACTGATTATACAAATATACAATAATATAATTGTGCAAATATATAAATTAATATTTTAATTTGTACCAAATAATAATTTTGTCATTAGCAAACAAAAAATTTTTGTTAAAAATTTGCATGGTGTGTACTCTTATAGAAATTTTTTATTTTACAGATATAATCAAACAAATGATTTATGGAGCATTATGCAAAATGTTTTACATATGTATCCAGATAACTCAAGCGTAATCATAAAAAACTTATATCTAATTGGAAAATGGAAAATATTATTATCCTGTACTGTACGTGACACGAAATTTCACTAATATGACGGTATGCTCACATCTCAGTTCTGATTTTATTGACAAGAACACAAAACATCTTTCAACATTCGTGACATATACGACAAAATCAATCATGAACTTTCAAAATATTTATCACAATAATTTCTTTTGGCTATCACCGCAAAAATCGGTAACATTATCGGAAAATCTTAAAGAAAATGATTGGATTATAGTCAATTTACAACAAACAGGTAAATACAAAACATAACGTGTATTATATTTTATCTTGATATCTTTTTTGCTTTTCTAATCTGATACACCCTATTGCTCGTGACACATACACTCGCACACTTGTACGTGTCCCTCTGCTCGCAAGCACAAATTCTCACACTATTTGCATATTCTCACGCTCCTACCTTTTTTTATACAAATTGTTCAAAGTATTATATTAAAAAATAAATAATTTAAGGAAATGTTCCACAAAAACAATAT